TTTTATTATAACTAATTATTATCTTAATTATATTTTAGATTTTTTATATTTAAAATAAGATGTTTATCCCTTATTTAATTTTGTTTATCTATAGTTAGTTACAAAAATTCAAAATGAAGCTTTAATAAGTTATACTTATACACAATTTACTTGTAATCTTAAATTTTAAGTAATACGCGTCAATAAACAATACTTTGTATATAAAAAATGATGTTCAAAAGTTTTTGTCAAATGTTTTATAATACACGGTCATTCAGGAGGTGTTTGAGATTGCTTATTTAAAACAACTTATGCTTTTATATAAAAGTGCTTATTAACTTATGTGGTATCAAACCGGAATTTTGTAAAAAAGTGTTTGGATTAGCTTATAATGATACCAAAAAGCAATAAGCTGATAAGTTGTTTTTTAGTGTTTGATAAATTTTGCTTATATATATAAAATGACCAAAAAGGACAGCCTTCCATAATTAAACTTATTTGATTTTTTAACATGTAAAAATTTATTTTTTCATCGTTTATAATAATATTTTTAACAAAATTATATCAGTAAGATTAATAATTTATATAAAAAAGATTAATAATTTATATTAATAAGATTAATAATTTATATCAATAAGATTAATAATTAACAAACATTAATAAAACAAGGTTACAATAGTAAACTGGTAATAAGCAGTTTTTTATAAATAAAAAATGATTAACTTATCAAAAACTGCTTATTACGGGCTTGACATCGATATAAACAATTTTATTTTTACTCATCCAAACGCTAACATTTAATTTATGTGTAAAAAAAAAAAACCCAGCTAAATAAACAATCCCAAACACCGCTAAGCTAATAATAATAACCTCTACTCTACCCACTCTCTCTTTGACATCTCCCCTTCCCGGTTCTCATGTTCCCTGATTTCGCTCCCTCTGTGTTCCGAACCTAATAGCACCCCTTGCCCCTCTCTCCCTCTCTTGCCCCCACCCGACAAGAATGGGATGAAAGTCTAATCGAAGGTCTCTCAAATCCCGATCTGCGCTCTCTCAGATCCTTGCCGAGAAAACTTTTAGGTACTTGTATTTTGCTTTCAAAGATTTCACTAAGGGGAAAACACCTCGAGGCTCGTTTCTGTTTTAAAACCTTGATGTGGAAAACAAAAGAACGATACTTTGCACACTGGTCGTAAAAATTATTGCTTAGAAAGAAATTCTAAAGAGAAGGATTTAGGGTACAATTCTCACCTGTGCCAGCGGCAGTTCAACTGCACAGGGATTGCGTAATATATGTAAGATTATATATGATTTACAGGCAAATGTGATGGAGAATAAACAATCCAATATGCAAATTGTTTTGGTGGACCAAGATGGTGACGTTAATGATGACGAAGGTCTTCCACCAGGAATTTCAGTTGCAAATTTTGATTATTCAGTTGAGAATCATTTAAAAGCTATGGATAAGATTTTGGAGTTCTCAGGGGAATCAAAATTTGAGTATGATCAATCTGAGATTCAACGAATGACTTCTTCTGTCACCTTTTTAAGGTAATTTCGCAAACTTGTTTTGTATGACCATATCTTGCTTGTGTGTGTTTATGGTTTATAAATATGTACATATTTGTTACGGTTATTATATGAGTACAATAAGTTTATACAGCCGCTGATCCAAGAAATTTTTGTCAGTCATGCTTCCTTCGTTCCAATTTGAAACAAGCTACATGTCCCTTTTTGGTTCAAGAAGATTAGGTTTTCAACTTCAAAATTGAAACTGATCTTTGAACTTATAAGAAAACTGCCAAATGCAAACACCATTAATTTTGTAACCGATAATGTTAGAATTGAAGTTGCAACAAGAATCTGTATTTGTTAGACGGAAAGTCTTCCCATATTGCAGTGATGAAAATAATGGGGAAAAGTACATATGACTATCTTATAATCACATGTAGTGCTTTTATTATACAATTCTAGTTCATTGTTGTGTTCATATTTTTTCACAAGAGTATTTGCTGTTTGGGTGGTATTCTACTACTTGTACACAATTATGCTTTTATAAGATTGATTTTTGCATGTAATGTCATCCTCAGTAAGACAACTCATAGAACAAACTGCTAAATTTATGAGACACTTGTCATGATTCAAGGGAAACATAGGTAAGGGTACAACAATGTATCAAATGTATATGATTTGCACTTACATTGATAGACAATACGTTGACAATTAAAGCATTTTTGAAGAGGGAGCTAAAGACCATCCAATTCGTTTATAGACCACCACAAACTTGTCGCTTTCTAGAGATTCAATCATGAATGCATTACACAGAGAACCACGATATCTTTCTTCATCGCTTTTGACCTCCATCACTGTACCTTTGTGGAATCAACTTTACATCTAAAAGGTTGATAATCAGCTTTTTAACTGTTTATTTGTAACCGTAGGGCATTAAACTTCTACTTGAGCCTTAAGTAACATTCTGTGATGCATGGTTAATTAAGTTAGGTATTGTTTACTTTTTGACTTAATGGGCTTAATGGCTGATTGGGCTTAATCGCACAAACATATCTGGTGTTACTTGCAGCTTAATGGAAAATAGGCCGTCTTATTCACACAACCCAAATAGCTCACTTGTCTATTATCATCCCAAAAAATTACCTTTCTTGCCCCTGATAAAAAATGCTCCTCTGATATAACCCATCTGGTTGCCCTTTTTCATGCTCTCTTCTCGCCGCTGCATCTCTTTCCTCCCCCCTTCCCCTGACGATTTTCCCTTGCCGGCTGCATCTCTTTCCAGCGACCATCGATCCACAACTGCATCTTATTCTGGCGACCCTCGCTCCACAAAAGAAGGAACACATCGAGTCCAAGAAATGCGAATCGATTCCAAGCATAATCTCATGTATGGATTCCGAACAAAAATAAAAACCTACTGTTCTCATCAATTCCAAGCATATTCTTGTGTTGTGTGGATTTATTTTAGGCAAGTGTTTTTGGTTTTGGTGGTGATGGTGATATCAGAAGTGGAGGAAGAAGGTAGAAGCAATGGGTTTTTGGAGCTAAAGGGACACCGCTTAGAAATGCTAAACTTCTAAGAAACCCTCTTTCCAGCGACCATAGAACCACCGACGCATTTCCTGTTAGATTTGATGAACATTGGCTTTTTTGGTTTGATTAGTCTGGATCTCCTACCCCTACCATATTTGGTTTTTTCTTGGTCGCAAAGATTCAATTTTCTCTTGTGTAAATTGATGATAAATTTGCTAACTATTTTTGGTTCTGGGATCTTGATTGACTTGCTAATATTTGACTTTGATTTAATTGGGGTAAACAAAAATTGTTTCAAGCATGTTCAAAAATTATATTGAAGTTTATGTTGGTCCCAAATGGGACGACAATAAACAAAAAATAATTGTAGAAGGGGGGTTGAATACAATTACATAGATTTTTTCAACTTTTAATTCTTATTGATGTATATCAAGAATTAACACACATAAATACAGATTGTTGCGGAATAAGGAAAGCATAAACCTAATCTAAACAATCCCATACACAGAAGAACTTACAAGAACAACATAAAGAGTACTTGCAAGGAACGAAGAATACTGGGCTTTCTTCACACACATGAGAGTAGGAGAAGAGAGCTGATTGCCTTGAGAATGCACTTACAAAATTCTGTCTAGGAAGCCACTTGCTTTGTGTCCGAGTACCCGAGCTCTTAGTCTTCCAGAGAACCTCTTAGTCATCCAGAGAGCCTCCTAGTCATCCAGAGAGCCTCTGTGTGCTCTTCCAGACTTGGTCATTATGGCTCAGCAGATCTCTGAATCTTCCATCCTTAGCCCGAATTGCTTAATAAAACTTTTTAGAGAAGTTAGGATCAATTTTGGTCCTAACAAAGCATTTTGCATGGGAGATGCACTCTGCCTTTTATACCACATGATGCATTAAATGCATAGGGACATTTGTCGCCTTGGGATAAGATGATAGGCATTGTCCTTTTTAACAGACACTGCATGCACAAAGTACTGTTCCATCACTTGTACTTCACCTGTGTAAGTATGTAGAGACAAACCTACTGAATAAGGAATGTCCCTATCAGGTACAAGGTTTGCAGAGATATGGTCAGTTTGGTAGGCAGATCTTCTTTCAATCGGCTAGTAGCTTCAAATCAACTTCAAGCTTCAAAACAACTACTTGAAGTCTTGGTGTATGTTTCAGATAGTTGATCCACAAAACTGCATCAGTGACCTTCTATCTTCACTTTGGCTATTCTTTGATTTTGCCTAGGGCTTTCAGTTTGTATCAAGAAACCAATATACAAAGAAACCGATAACTACTAAATGTTGATAGGATAGTAGGACAAATTGGAGGGTCATCACCAAATCAATAGGTGACCCAACAGTTTATCTTTTGGATGATGAGAGATGCAGGTCATGATATTATGTTTTGATGTTCAAATAGTTTTTGTGTTTCGGAAATATAATTCAGTTTTCAAGCAACATTTAGTTCATGCGAAGGGGTAGATCGGTCATTTCTGTCATTTAGATTGTTGATTCAGGAAAAAAGGGTAAACATCAACATATTTCTATCCAGACATACAAATGATTTCATACAAGACTTGTAGCAAAATTGGTAAACAACCCCTTAGTATTCCTCAAATTTGGCTGATTAGAGAATCAACTATACATCTCAAACTAAGCTTGGTTTATTTAATATAGCTCTCCCCTAATATAAATGAAACGAATTTTCAAATAAGCGTTTTACGAAGTTGGGACTGAGCACATCATTGTTGTACTACCGAACAACTAGTTTTGTTATGTCTCAGTTGTGAAATGATAATTGGTAGTAGTTGGACATGCATTAAATAGATAAATGAAATGGATGTTGATCATTGTTAAAAGCTGGACGATAAGCACAAAAATAAATATTAACTATTGTGATTTCAAGGTTTCTTATCTTTTTTATAAATATTTTCTATTTATTTATATTATTATATATTTGTTTAGCCACATGTTTATGCAAGTATTTTTGTGTGCATGTTATGAATTGAAGGTCTTAATTTATTTACAGAGAATGGAGACATTTCTGTTACCAACCTCAAGCTATTAGGTTTGCTTGCCAAAGCGAAGCTCCTCAGAGGAAGGATGTCACTAGTAGGATAATAAACCTAACTCAGTTTTCTTCAGCAGCTGTTCCTAAGGTAAAATAGATGTAATTGATTAAATATGCCAATTTGGTTGCTTTAATAATAACCACCTCAATATATCAGTTTTTGATGCAATATCGTTCAAAGAATGCTCACTGGCTTTGGCTAAATGCTGATGCAGGACATATCCGGTGGAGATAAGATCTCATCACATTCGAGGTCCGTAATCAAATTGCCTCTGTAGTTATGTTCTCATCTCTTGGATATTTTATACAAAGAACAAAACTATGCTTGTGTTGTGTGTTGATGATTGGTCACTAATGCACATTGTATGTGGGAGGAAATTGGAGGACATGAGATAAAATGATTTAATCTCTACTCAGCATATGGTCTTGATGTGGGTCCAAAATTTTGGAACTTACAAAGAAAATTTGAGCGTGTACTTGATATTACCTACCATTTATTCATAGATATTATCTTATTAAATCTTGTTGCAGCAAAGATTTCGTAATGTACGTTGGAGGTCTAGTTTGGGCGATGGATTGGTGTCCGAGAGTTCATGAAAGGCCTGACTGTGATATTAATCTTGAGGTATTGCTTGCTTACATGAATGCTTCTCTTGTTTATATTGAACCTGCTTTATATTTGTGGTAGCAAGTGCTCGATCATGTTTTTGTATTTGGAGTATGGCGTCCACTTGTAATTCTGCCTTTCCTTCAAAATGATTGTTGGCTGGCGTCAGTTAGGAACCATTATACATCCTACTAATATGGACTTGAAACTCTTTTTTTCCTAAGCAGCATAAATGTTAGTAATTGAAACTTTGAAAGTATCATCTAGAGGCTAGAAGGGTTATGTCCTATTTTTAATAAAGTTCATCAAACGTGTGTGCACAACCAAATCAAAAGCATGAGTAGTACAATTTAGTAAACCAAGGAATATGAAAAGAAAAATTTGAAAACACAGATTTTCATGGCCTGAAAAATCCCTGACGTACACTCAATTTCTTTTTGAGATTGTTGCCCTGTGGTAAACAAACTCCTCGATGTAACAGCTTTTACATGAGACTTTTATCTTCCTTAGTTGGGTTTGCATTGCTCCAAAACACTGTCTTCTGGGACATCTAAGCATGAATACCAATCTTAGCCAACCAAATTAAGAAGATAACTGCGCAACTCAATAACCAAAATAGGGAACGACTATAGCTATATCATGTGTCACCTGATAACGAGACTTCCCGAGCATGAACTGATGTTTTGGAGTACAACTATGTATTACAAACTTTCTTCTCTATAAACGAATAATAGAAGTTGAAGCACTATGGCTAAATGTCTCTCAAGACGGTGGAAGAGAGTAAGAGATTGCATTAATATATTCATGAATTGAAGCTCAAATACTTATCCCTTCAGAAATGTCTTGGAAATATGAGTGCGAGTGCATATGTTTTGAGCTTAAAGTCCATGAATTCATGAAGATCTAACCCTTGTGTCAAAATGATTTGGACACAGACAAACTAGACGCCTGTCTGTCATGTCTTGATTAATCCAACCATAAAGTAATTTCATTTTCTTATTACAACTGATATTGTCTGACCACAATGTTTTGAAAATCTTATTTTTGCATTCGAATTTTGATCCATTTTAGGGTAAACATATAGTTTTCATACTGTACACAATAATGCTAGAATTTGGGCTTTTCTCAAGATTTACTTTTGATTGGTTTGAGCTTTGATTTTTAAGTGAATGCGTGTTGTAGCCTGTTGGAGAAAAGATGTGTCATCAATGCCTAGACTTCAGTCTTGCTTCTTCAGTGACTTCTATACTTAAAGTTTGACTCTCTGTTCTTCTCAGGACTTCTGTTCTTTCAACTTTGACTTCACTCCGTGTACCCCGTATGTTTTGTTCTTCAATTTTGGTCGGTCTTGGAAGCTCCAGGTCTTTTGAATTTTGGTTTGTACTTCAATTATTCGCTAGCTACAATATGATATTGCAATAGCAGATGATAATATGAGTTGAGGGTATGAATTTGACCAATGTTTGGCAGTATTAAAGCCAAAGAGGTGGCTAATATGGATTCGACCCATGACAGAGATGCCTAGAGAACTTGAAGTTCCTACTTCTTTCTTCTAAACTTGGATATAGTTGCACACTTGCACATTTTCTACCAAATCTCCTTGTGTTATTTGCGAGAATTTGTCAACTTTTGTTCTTTATATACTGGGTGATGAAAAGGGACCTTAAAAATTATGAGTAATGACATGTGGTTGTAGTTATACAGCATGTTGACACATTCAGGTAATCTAGCCTTAGATTTTTCCTGGTTAATTTTGGTAGTGCAAGACTGATGTCGGCTGTAATTATTATTTCATACTATTTTACAAATAGATGTCTTATCCTTTTGCTTTGGGAAGCTAGTGCAAGACTGATGTCGACTGTCAATACATAAATGTTCATAACATTTTCCAAGCATAAGAAAGTTACCCTTCTATGTTCATTTAATATTGCTGTGGTAATTGCATTCCAGTTCATTGCTGTTGCTGCTCATCCTCCTGAGTCTTCATATCACAAGATTGGTGCTCCACTTACTGGAAGAGGTGTCATCCAGATATGGGGTCTTCTGAATCGTGGTCTGAAAGACAATGATGTGATTCCTCATGTCAAACGGAAATCAAAGACGAATTCAAGTAGTAACAAAGCAACAAAGCCTAAATCAACTCAACCAACGAAGCCAAGAGGGAGACCTAGAAAGAATCCCATCGATGGATCTATTAAGTTGTATGATAACAACCAGCATCTGCACGCTCAGGCTGTTCAATTTCCAGAAGATTCAACCAAGTTACTACTTACAGATGGGAGATCCCATGATATCCTTGAACTAGTTGCTACAGGTGTTACAAATGCCAAACCGAGTGCACCAAAAAGACCAAGAGGAAGGCCTAGAAAGAACCAACTAAAGGAATCAAAAGATAACTTAGATCATAGCAACAAACATCTGGAATCACTTAAATGGCCTGAGGTCGCATCCAACTTGAATAATGTGTACCTTGAAACCCCTGAAAATTTTTCCAAAGGTACTTGCAGAGATCAGAATGCTCCTGTAGGAGTTTCAACAGAGAAGCAACAGGATATTAGGGCTACGGAGACTATAAATTTCAATGTAGTTAAACCAATGGAAGGTGTTAGAAAGAAGAAAACAAAAGTTTCTGCAGATAATTTGGACAGTAGCAATCAAAGTGTGAAACCTCTAGCAGTTAAGTTCCCTGAGGACAACATCAATGTTAACAACCAATATCTGAAACCTCTAGCAATTACGTTCCATGAGGACTCATCAAAGTTGCCTGAGGTAGATGAAATTTCAATCGAGACCCCTGAAATTGTTTCCAAAGTAGATGATGGTAGTAAAACACATGAACTAGTTGCCAAAAAGGATTCTGGTCGAAAGCGGAAAGCTCACGATGAAGGACATCCTGAAAAGTCGGTGTTAATTGCTTCTACGTCAACATTGACAAAATGCAAATTGAGATTAAAGAGTGTGGAAACTGCTACCGATCTTCACTTGCCATCGCAAAAATGCGGAACCTCCCTTCTGAACGCTGATACATCCTCTGGCTGTGGACAAGATCCTATGAGATCAATTGAGGACAAAGCTGATCCTGTCCTCCTTGAAACTGATATGGATAGTCGCTGCATTCCTGAGGATGTTGCTTTGCCTAGACTCGTATTGTGCTTGGCTCACAATGGAAAAGTTGCGTGGGATGTAAAATGGAGACCTTCTGATACTTATTTTAATTCCAAACATAGAATGGGATACCTTGCTGTCTTGCTTGGAAATGGAGCTCTTGAAGTGTGAGATTTCTCTTCAGTTTCTCAATTTGTTCTTTTCTTCTTTAGTTGTTCATATTTAGACTTATGGATACAGGTGGGAGGTTCCTGCTCCTCATGCAGTTGAAGTTATGTTTTCTGCTTGCCGAAAGGAGGGGACTGATCCTCGCTTTATTAAGTTGGAACCAGTATTCAGATGTTCGATGTTGAAGTGTGGTGATAGACAAAGGTAATATTTTCTTGTGAAGTTCTATTCTTTGTTGGTGTCACCATGGATCTTCATTGTTCCAGTGATTTTTACTACCACTATTAGTTTAATGTAAATTTATGATGACATAATATTAATGGAATTTACTTTTCACTTGTGTGGATGGAATCTTTAAAGAGTTAGCTGTTCTATGGCTTTGGGTATTATTACCATGGCACTGTTGATTCTTTTCATGGACTAATTCATCTGCTATTTAAGTTCTATTAACCAAAAAATTCAAATATTGATGGCTCCTGCTAATTCCACTCTGAGCTTCATTTTACTTTTTTTTTTCTTGACCTCATTTTTTGTATTTAATGTTTTTCTGTACAGCATTCCCCTAACACTGGAGTGGTCGACATCATCTCCTCACGATCTCATTCTGGCTGGTTGTCATGATGGAGTGGTAATTTTAGCATTGTGCCTATATTTTTTCTGTTCCTTGAGGGTTTTTATGTATATACGTCTCTATTATCCTAATGTGTATGTGAAATATACTTCTTTGCATTGTATCATTCTCGCTGGGATCGTGTGAGAATAACAGCTTTGGTACATAGTTACATTCTTAGATATAGCACATTCACAAGCACTCATAGACATACACAAATATAGAAAAGTAGGTAATTAGTCTATTGCCACCGTTCTTGTTCACATAATAGCTATTGAAGTCAGACTTACATATTTCTATACATCTAGGTTGCTCTATGGAAGTTCTCTGCTGATGGTCCACTGAAAGGTACTCATGCTATGTATTCACTTTCCAGCTAGCAATACATGGCATGTGCTTGTATCTTGTGCACTTGGCATGTTTTGATTGTAATCTATTTAACATAAGGTAGAAATTGTGCCTTCGATCTCTCGAGAGTTTATACATGAAACCTACAGAGTATTCCTATGGTTGATGGTTTTTGTTAATTAGTTTTGTTATTTTTAAGAGTTGATTTCAGTTTTATATCTTTTGATTTGCAGATACCAGACCTTTGCTTCGCTTTACTGCAGATACAGTTCCTATAAGGGCGTTAGCATGGGCACCAGTTCCAAGGTCAGTCATTCTTGATGGATAAATATAAACCTTTTCATGTTAGTCTCACTAGAAATATAAAATAGATATTTTCTTTTTCACTCATTCCATTTCTATGTGAGGGCATGTTGCTGATGGTATCTTAATAAAACTTGTACTTGTTGCTTTAGTGCACTTAACATAAATGATATCTTTGTATGAATTATGAAATACAAGACGATACATTTTGGGACACTCTTAGTGGAGATGATAGTTTGGTTAACTCCACCATAGGCCTATATGTACACCAGTGAGAATTGTCTGCTTTAATTGTGTAGGGCATACAAAGAGGTAAGGGCTAGGTAAAGATTAACATGGCATCACTTGATGCTCTACATGTCCCAAAGCCTTGTTTATTTCACCTCTTCTGTTGATATCTGGTGGGATATATGACATCTTTGGTGCAACCACTATATAGGGTCCATGCAATCCCTTCACATTGCCTAGACAAACTTAAGGGTCTTGGCTCTTAAAAGAGTTGATGGCAACCTAGCAGGAATTAAACCTAATACCTAATGGTCCTTTAAGGCTCCAAGAGCAGTGATTGACTATAGTTTTTTATATGTACTTGACTTGTAATCTTTTGCTTTCTTTAGCAAACCAACACTTACAGGTTCAATTGGCTCAACTTGTTCATTCTGGAGTTTAGGCAAATGATTCAGAAGTCACCTCAACACATTTATCTTATTTACCTTTCTACTTGTGGTCAAGACATTTCATCATTCATGTATTGGTTCAAAGTTTTATCTTTTGGTTGTCTTGGCACCTTTTATCCTGAAAGAAAAGAATGCACGCTTGAATTTGATTGTTTCTAAGAATTTAATATTGTGGTTGTAGGTTGAGAAATTTAAAATACTTTTTTTTTGGTTTTTAGTTTTTTGAAACCTCTTTTTGTTGATATTTGCAGCGATTCTGAGAGTGCAAATATAATCGTTACTGCTGGTCATAAAGGTGCAAAGTTTTGGGATTTACGGTAAGGATATTTGGTTTATTCTGTGTGGAAGTCTAAAATTTTGTTCTAGTGATCATGATTGTTATGTTCTGCGTTCTGTAAGAAAATAATGTGAATGCATTATTTAACAATTTTTCTATACCTGATTTGCTATTTGATTTGAATCGAGAAAGGCCTGACAACATGCTTTGACCATTTGCTCTATCGAATTGATGGAAATGTTACATCTCCTTCTGCATCTTCTCTCTTGCCATAAATATTGATCTACAAGTTTTGTCTTCCTGATTATTACAACCATGATTATCTCAAATGATAACACTGTCTGTTGGAAGTTACACTCTCCCCACTCGCTCAATAAGTTGGAATGCGCATCTTAGTTTCTCTCATCTTCTGATTGCCAACTATTGTGTTTGTGGGGGTGTTAAAAGTCGCTCAGATGATTGTAGCAACCTGATTCTAGAGATATTTTCAATATCCACTACATTATCAGAGTGATATTTTCGTTACCCGGATGGAGCTTAAGTTGCATATAAACTATTTATATATCTTGACAAGTTGTTCGTCCTTGTAGTGATCCTTTTCGTCCTCTTTGGGATGTAAACCCGGCCCAGAGGATCATATACGGTTTGGACTGGCATCCCGATCCAAGGTATCATATGGTGTGGTTCATTCATTTCTGCATTTTGGGTTCGTTTTAACTCATAATTTTGCTTCTTTTTGTGCTTATAGATGTGTTGTTTTATCATTCGACGATGGAGAAATACAGATAATCAGCTTATCGAAGGCTGCATGTGATGTCCCTGTTACCGGTGCACCCTTTGTTGCGGCACAGCGACATGCATCGCATAGCTATCATTGTTCATCATCTTCAATTTGGAGCGTTCAAGTGTCAAGACTAACAGGTGAGTTCCCTGATTTAAACCGAAAATATTTTCATATCAATTGTATTTACAATCAATCCTTTTCTTCTCTCTCGCTCCTCCCCCCCTTTCCCCCCCTCATCTCTGACCAATAGAAGGTTGTTTATTTTGTATATTTGTATTTCGTAATTCAGAAGTTTGATTGACAATTTGCAAGTTGAATCTTAGGCATGGTTGCATACTGCTGCTCAGATGGTAAAGTTGTACATTTCCAGGTCTGTTTCTTCTTCTCTTCTAAACCATTCATTCACCAACTCCACATATAGTTTTGCAAGTTTGATTTGCCAAAAAAAGAAAATTATTTGTTTTCACTCAAAGGAGAGTGTATTTATTCATAATCCTGTTCACGATTCCGCTTATAAATCCCAAAATACGTTTATTTTCGTTTATCCTAAAATAAGCGTCTACTTTCAAAAGCAATTGTCTACTTTTATGTATGAGGCGACGAAAATCTGTCAGGATAAAATCGTCATTTAGTTAATTGAAAGGAAACATTATTTTGGGAGGGAGGGAGTATATCAGTATAATGCTTGGAAGTTGAGATTTGTATGGAATGATGATTGAGTTTATGAGTTTGATCTTTGTTCAGCTTACAATGAAAGCCGTGGAGAAAGACCCATCGAGAAATCGGGAGCCTCATTATCTTTGTGGAGCGATGAGCATGGAAGAATCAGGTCTTACCATTTTATCTCCATTACCCGACGTACCATTTCTGATGAAGAAATCATCCAAGGAATGGGGTGACACCCCGAGAACCAGACGCGGTTATAGATCCCTCTCAAATCAGGAGAAGAGAGCCAAGGAGCAAATGTTGAAGGAATGCCAACAACCTTTAGGTTTGTTTCATAAATTCTAATCATTTTTTGCTTAGCATATAATACAGATTTTGTTTTTATTCTTGTTTTTGTCGGTAGCTGTTTGTTACGATGGCAATAGCGATTCAGAGACACAGCAGAGTAGTAGTTCAAAGAAAGGAAAAAGAGATGATGAAGAAGAAGAGCTTCCTTCCAAGATTGTTGGAAAAAGAGATGATGAAGATGAAGATGAAGAAGAGCAAGAGCTTGCTTCCAAGATTGTTGGAAGAAGAGAGGACGAAGAAGAGCTTCCTTCCAAGATTGTTGGAAAAAGAGATGACGAAGAAGAGCTTCCTTCCAAGATTGTTGGAATGTATGGCGTAAGATGGAATACGAACAAAGGCAGCGAGAGGTGGTTGTGTTACGGTGGTGCTGCTGGAATTCTTCGCTGTCAGCACATTTATTAGACGTCTTCTAATCCTACAATTAGCTAGTAATTGCACATGAGGTCAATTTAGTCTTTTTCTTCTCACTTTTTGTAGATAGAAAATAAATTAGGGTTTAATTTATTATTAATTTTTTTTATTAACCTAGATATCCAACCTGCTATGATAATTTATTATTTTTTGATCGCCGTCTTCTTCAAAGCTACCGTCAAAAATTCAAACCCATATATGAAACAACAAACATGTTTTAAAAGACTTGGGATACATTTTGGTTTGCAGGATCGGATGAGATTTAGAGATTGTGGGATTAGATGAGATTTGGAATTGAATTTTATTTTAATCTCATGTTCAGTTTGAATAATTAGTTGGATTTTGAAATCCCACGGGTTAGTTGGGCATTTTACGGGATTTTGTAAGATTTATGTGTAAAAATATTTTAAAATATGTTAAAAACAGTTGTTTTGTAATAATCAAATAATAAAAAGATAATGTAATTATTTTTATAATTATTTATAATTTGTTTTTATATAAAATAAAAGGGAAGCAATTGCTCCTTTTCAGTTGTCTATTGTGCCATCAGTACCTCCATATTGTGTTTGAATCAGGGACGGATCTAGAAAATTTTCCATATGGTGGCACCATATAATTAATATAATATAATATACATCTAAAAATAATTACAAAAAAATATGGTTTTTATGGTACCGATAAACAACTCCTAAACTTGTACCCGACGCATTTTCATCTTTTGGAAACGGTCAATATATACCCAAAAATAATTACAAAAAGTATGTTGAGAAACAACTCCTAAATTTGTCCTCGACGTGTCTTCATCTTTTGGAAACAATCGATGATATCTTCGTTTTTAACATTACTAAGGACTTCCTTTTCTATGGTGCAAATGAGGGCAGAATTCAAAAAATCATCACCAATTCGGTCACGTAAATCTGTCTTGACAAGCTTCATCGCCGAAAAGCATCTTTCAACCGTAGCAGTTGCAACAGGCAAAACCAGTGTCAGTTTCAATAACCGGTCGGCTAAAGGATGAGAAAGATGCTTTCTTGTTGCCACCATTAATCTGGCGAGGTCGGCAATACCGTTTAAGTAGGCAAATCTGACATCATTATAAACAGAATGATAGTAGATATCAAGTTCATGCTCAAGAATGATCCTTTCCTTGTCTTCAAAATCTCGGGGATACATCTGACTCAACTTCAATAGGCTTGATTTGTTAAACTGAGAAAACGAATTGCGTGGATTCAAAGCCGCCATATTTTGAAGCAAGTCGGTACTTATCTCAACAAAACGATTACCAAACTCTCGGATCTGCATATCCAAAACAGTGTTGAATATATCATAGTTATAATAATGTTGATTGGTAATGTTCATCTTTTTCCTTGAATTTCTTGTATTAACATAAGCTTCAGCCATATCCAACTTCACAATCTTATGTTTATCACAAAAAGAATAGCATTTCTCCAAAACTTGATCAAACCCATTTTCCCTCAACATTTGTAATTGACCTTTGGTTGTTCCTATCAAATCAATAGCTTCCAAGATGTCTTCATCTTTCCTTTGAAGAGCTTGAGACAATGAATTTGTTAAACCTAAGATCGTTGATATCAAGTGCATATAAAACACAAATTCAAATGTCTTTAAGTATGATAAAAGACCTTTTGCTTGAAGCCGACTAGCTCCATTATCACCATCATCTTCGACATATTCAAGCACCTGTATAACCTCTGGAAACAAAGCAATTAAACTCACGATTGTTTTAAGATGAGAATTCCATCGTGTATCTCCAGCTCGGACAAGGGAAATCTCTTGGTTTAACCCCTTACCAGTCTCAATCTCCTCATTTCCAATTTCTTCTTGAATTCTCTCTTTGTGACTTTCTCGTAGCATATTTTTTCGTTTGCAAGAAGAGTTTACAACAATATTAACCAAAGCAAGCAAATCAAAGAAGTCTTTAACACCTTCGTGTTTTTTTGCAACCGCCACAACTACTAATTGAAGTTGATGGGCAAAACAACTCCGTCTAATTTCGTCTCTTTGATTTGGGTTATAACTTATAATTTTGGGTCTCTCTGATGGATCCCAAGGAAGATCGTTAACATCAATCATATTGTTGGATGCATCATTATTACCGGTTGATGATGAAGCTTTTCGCTTCAAATATTTTTCCATAATGAATGAGAATCGTAAATCTAAGTAATRAAAACAATAATAAGTAATCAGTATTCAGTAATGAGACAATGAGTAAATTTGCAAATCAATAATAAAATCAATAATGAGAGTTGAGACAGTAGACACAGTAGCTCAATGCCTCAATACTCAATTGCTTATTGCTCAAATCAATTTCACTTTCACATTTTTATTTTGCAAATCTACACTAGACRGTAGRCACARTAGAGTGTAGACAGTACTCAAATCAAATGCTTAATCAAATCAATAATCAATTTCATCAAGAGTAAAATGTATACGGTATACCTAAACCTAATCAAGTAAATAATCAACTARAACTAAAAATGTATACCTAAACCTAATTGAATCGATTCTGAAATGAAATCTGAATAATCGTCCGAGTTCRAGTGAGTGAGTTTCGATTGATCRATTCTGATTTCTGAATCGTCCGAGTCCGAGTCTTCAAGAATCAAGACTCGGTCCAAAATCGAATCGATTCTTCTTGTTGACAGTGTCCCTGCCTGGTGGTGGCCCTGGTAACCTGGTTGTCGGTACTCGGTCGGCTTRTCGTCCCTGCTCGTCGTTCACGCCCTGATTACAGTCGCGTCGCTCACTCGCTCTGGCTTGTCGTTCACGCTCGTCGTTCACGCTCGTCGTTCTCGCTCTCGTATCGCACAACTGCAGTATGCACAACAGCACAAGCCGGGCCTAAACTCTAAAGGCAAAAATACGATTTGGGCTTTAGGAAATTAGGCCCTAAACTAGTAAACTCTAAACTAAAGGCTTTAAAAACACAAACTGTTAATTGGGCTTAATCATATAATTAAATTTTGAAAATGTTAATAAGTTAATTGGGCTTTGCATTTTATTAATTTGGACAATTGAGCTTTTTTTTGTTTGGGTTTTAATTGTTATGTTTGAATAATACGGTAGCACTTTTCAAAATAATACGGTAGCACCTTCCAAAATAATACGGTAGCACCGTTAACAAACCTAAATTTTTTACCCTTCGGTGGCGAAATAATACGGTGGCACGTGCCACCCATACCACCCTTACAGGTCCGCCCCTGGTTTGAATAGAATTTGACAATGGGTTTGAGTCAATGATTGGAATTTTTTTTTCTAGATCTTGATTCGTGAAGGAAATGACTTTTACATGGAAATGAAAGAATCTGTAGTTAAATGGGATACAAAAAGAGTTTCCTACCTCATACGGCTAGCAGTCAACTCTTATAAAAAATAGAATTCAATTCTATTTCAAATCCTACAAACCAAAGCACACCAAAGATTCCAAATCTAAATCCTTCGAATTTTAAATCCTTCGAATTTTAAATCCTTCCATTGAATCTAAATCCCTCAAAACCATTTTATCAAACCAAATGTCCTTTGAGTGCTGTTTGGTTCATAAAATTGAAAGGATTCTAGGAGAATTTGAATGATAAATTTCTTTGAACAAATTCCAGTTCCTTTGTTTGGTTCATATTGAATGAAATCTTTTAAATTCAATAATTAAGTAATTCATCATTTCTTGGCATAAGTGAAGAAATTGAATTCTATCCCTTTGCATCCACATTAACTGTTGGTCCCGTGAGAGTCTACAAGAAGAGAAACATTTTGTAGAAGGGGGGATGAATACAAACACAATATTTT